ACTCCATTGATTGGTGCCACCCTTGTTGGCCACCACGATAGTGACATCACCCTTTCCTGATTCATTGCCGCTATTACCTCTTTCCTCGGCCTCATCAAGGGGTAACTTTTCAATCGTGTTATCATCAAACACAACAAGCACGTGGTCCTGTCATTTTTTCCACCACAGGACCCACTTCCCATACCCACCAACCGGACCATTCTTTACTACAGACGCATAGGTCCCTTTTACCTATGCCATCATTTGCTCCCTTTGGAGCGCGAGGTCACGGAACTGTCTATAGGTATACTTACCAGATTTCGCCTCAACGACAAGATGCCCTCGAATGAGTTCCGGCAATGCCCGTGAGAAGATGTGCAGAACTTGATTGTCCTACAGGTTTAGACTAGGTACCTACAACAAGCGATCAACTTCACGAGACAAAGCATCGACAGTTGTCCAACGCTTCTGGCTGATGGTAGTGAGCTCATCAAAGGCCTTGCCAACCATCGTTTTGTCAAGGAATCTCTCCTTAATCTTTTGGAGAAATTCCCTGAGGGTCAATGTTTTGGCCCACTCCCCAATATCTTCGAAGCAAGCAGCGTTGGCTTCAGACAACACCCATTCCTTTGCCACCTCACCCAGACATGAGGTAGTGAAAGCCACTTGGCTTTCTGACTCGACCGGTGCAGTACTACAATAGGTTTGGATTTCTGTTATCCAGAAAAGCAAGTGTTATCCTCGCTTTCCATTATTGGTAAAAGGAAGTTTCATCTTTACCTTTTCTCTCTTTTTCGGCTTCTGTATTTCCTTGGCCGGTTCTTTCTTAGCGGGCTCTTCTTCCTTCTCCGCCGGTTTCTTGGAACTTTCCGGAGTCTCCGGCGTCACCTTCGTTGTTTTCATTGCATCTTTCATTAGTTTCTCCTGGGGTTCTTTCTTCTCTTCCCCCTTGGCCTCCTCCTCATACACCACCTTGTTCTCCCCCTTTATGAGTCTGGTCATTGTCTGAATTGTGGTGGTGTTACTATCAATCTTCATCTCAAGATGGGCAAGGTAAGCCATCATATCATTCAAAACAGATGCAAGGTCAGTTCTTGTTCCCTCAAAGCGAAACCGTCGTCTGATTTCATCCACTTTTCTTTCCTGCTGTTCTTTTTCCATTTTCATTCTCTGGTATTCTTCCATCTTTCTCCTTTCTCCATTCAATGCATCTTCTAATTGCTTGATATTTCCCTCCATTATTTCTTCAGATAATTCAGGTTATTTCACTTCTTCCCTTTTTTCTTCTTTGGCCTCTCCCTGTTCAGTGATCTTCGCATAATGCTCATCCACATAATGATCAAGCATCATTCGCGCTTGATTAATAGTTTCCTGTACCCTTCTGCTGGCCTCCATCATCTGGGCAGCAGTATCAGCTTGCTGTAGTTCGGTTTCTGTTGCGCGCAGATCGAACAAGCTGCTTACATACTGTCCAGCTTCGGGGCCAGCATTCTGTACTTCAGCGAGCAAAGTACGAAGACGAGTCAGCATCAATTGCCGCCGTTCGTCTATCTGCCCATGTGTCCGCAACACTCTCTCTTCCTCATCAGCAAACAGAGTGATGGGATAGGAGAAAAGGGGTATGAATCTCGTGAGAATGGAGGCACTCAAACATTTCCAGATGAGAGACATTTCGCAATGTGTGTGCGCCGCACAATAAATAATTACAAGACAATAATATATTCCATGGCCACACTCGGTTTCAATCTCCTACAGCAAGAAAACATAATAATAAAATTAAGGAACAGACTTTTATTTACTTCTATTTCTAACTTCTGCTGTCTGTCCTATGTGTGATGACGTCCTAATCGAGAGTGTACAGGTACCTCAGCCACGGCCAGTGTGATCAAGACACAACAACACAGGTGAGTATGCACGGCAACCACAGAACAGCCAAGACAAGTGAGTAAGTCAGCCAACACACAATCAATCAATATGTCAGCATCCTTTCCTCTTCGGCTGCACCATCTGCAGATACCAATGCGGCCAGGCACAAGGGCCGACGCGTGGCACTACAGCCAAATTGTGGTGCTTTACCGGCCGCCAGCATGCAAGTGCAAGTATCAACTTCTCACCAGCGGCAGGGCACGTCCGCTGCCACGTGTCACCCTGACATGCCAACGCAGCACCTCCGCGGAGTTGCCACGTCAGCATTCAATGGCCAGTAGGCCATCAAGAAGGGTGCCACGTCAGCAACACGCCAACTGTCAGATCATCCACCACTGGTGTGCCACATCAGATCGACGTACCGCTGGAGTGTGGAGCGCCACGTCTCTAGGTAAGTCGCGACACAGATACGTGCCACATCAGACAATACCCTGCCAATCCCTGGGTGCCACGTCAGCACCCTCGCGCTATGCCACGTAGGCAGTGTGCCACGTCAGCAGTCCCGATATCCCACTCTCGCTCTCTCTCTCGACTCACCAGCGCCACGTAAGCCTGCAGCCAACGATGCTCTCGCCGGTATCTGATCGCCACGTCAGCAACACTGCGCCACGTAAGCAATGTTGCCGTCTTCAGTCCATGTCATCATCTTCAAGGGAGCGTCCACATGCGCGTGGCAGTCAATGTCTAGCCCGCGATGATAATCGCTCGCGTTTATAAACACGTTTCTTTCCGATCACGTGCGGCACCTCCCACTTACCTGGGCGCCACCTGGCGCCTGACAGCAGATCACGACGAAGAAGGTAGGCTCTGATACCAAATTGTAACGAACCCAGTCTGGAAGATACTCGTCAAATGTCGAAGTACAAGGTAACTCAACGCTGAACAATGTCTGCAATAATCTTGAATATGATATCTGATACAATGTCTTGTAACCAAGGACGAAGAGAGGAGAGGGGGAATAGACAGCTTAGAGGGTGGAAAAGTAAGTATCCATCAATGACTACAGAGATAGTAGCCCAACAATTCCCTCTCCTTCTCCGGGCTTCCCCCTCGCCTCCACGTCAACAACAGTGTCCAATAGTGAGCCTGACAGGGCCTGATCACATCAAAGTGCCACTTGGCACAGTTCTCCCGCGAAGACGCTCATCAGCACACAGTATCGACATCAACAGAAGGTAAGTATCCTCTCTCTCTCTCTCAATCATCCACAGATCCCAATCTCCCTCCTTGTCGTGTCCAGCTCAGCAACGAAGACAGTGTGGCAGATGCCACGTCAGCAATAGAGACAGGGTGGCATGAGCCACGTCAGCAATGCCGAAGACAGCGTGGCTTGCGCCACATCAGCAGAAGCTGGCGCCAAGACAGGAATGCGCCAGCAAGCAAGCAGCAGTCTCGCTTCGTCTTCCACAGTGCCAGCATTCAGCCAGCGTCAAGCCAGCATCAAGCCAGCGTCCAGCTAGCGTCAAGCCAGTGTCAAGTCAGCATAGCAAGACTGAATGTTGACTCCCTGGAGGCCGGGCCTTAACTAGCATTTGACGAGGTTGACCGGCCTCAGGTCTCCCACCCACGGTGGCTCAGATTGACTCCCAGCCGAGGGCCTGGATCTCATACGGTTGCAGACTTCCACTTGGTCGAAATGTTGTCTTGGTACCTGCATACAAACAAGTGTGTGTGTCGGACCAGCGGCCTGGGCTGGATCCACGTTGACTTTGACTCGTGGGTCTCAGGCAGTTGACCGAAGTCAACTGTCGGGCGCACAGGCCCTGAAGCCGAATTCCTCACGGCCTTAGGCCGGGGTCGCGGCCTGTGCGTGCCCCCTTCAGGACACATCAGGGCATATGGAGGGGGTATTGCAGTACGTTCTATTCGGAAAAAAAAAAGAGCGATTTCCTCGAAGGTGATTCGAATAGAACATACGTATGTTTTTTTTCGGGCCAAGAAGTCCCTGGTAGATAACAGTTATGGGTTGAAGAGTGATCTTTAGAAGGCACCACAAATCTCAGCCAGGATCACCAGAGTCTTTAGGCCAGGTGGCAGTCAATCCGGGCAAGCAGCCAAACCCAAGAAGAGTCTGTAAGCTTCCAGAAGCAGGGAACAAAGGCAAGGGGACCAACCCATAACCAACAGAAGATGTCTGGAAGGTGGATCAGCAAGTATAAAATCCCAGCAGCATCAACAAGCAGGATCAACTGTTTGTGTGCATGTTGCAGAAGCGCTGTGGGTTGCTCGTGCAATTGTGCGACGCGGATGGAAGTTGGGCGCTGGAGGAGGAGCGAGTGCCTGGCGGGGAAGAAGACGTCTGGTTACCATATCTCGTGTTAGAAGGTTGAGGAAGAAGGCAGCCGTAGCCGCAAGAGTAGGGTGACACACTGCAGTTGCATTCAGGGTAGATCTAGGCGAAGGAGGAGAGTTGAGCGCAGCAGGAAGATTGAGCCATACAAGTCTTGAGAGAGAGAGAGGGGGGGGGGGAGAGAGAGAGAGAGAGAGAGAGAGAGAGAGAGAGAGNAGAGAGAGAGAGAGAGAGAGAGAGAGAGAGAGAGAGAGAGAGAGAGAGAGAGAGAGAGAGAGAGAGAGAGTCAGACACCGAGAGAGGGGGAGTTGCGTACATACCTGCAGTCGGGTTGTTCTGTTGGATTGCCACTGCCGCTGAACATCTGAACTCTCCAATTGTATTATATCATATTTTCGAGGGAATCACTTCAGGGGCTGATTCTTGTGTCATCTGTTGGTGTGGTGTGAACTTTCATCTGAGTTTTCTCTGCGTACATGTTGTGAGTTGGATTGGAATTGCAAGGTTCATTGCACTTGTGTCTCCTATCACCTTGAGAAGCGCCTATGGCCCATGATAGATAGGTAGCATTTTCTGTGAGATTCCTTCTTCCAATGAAAACTCATGAGATTTAACCCATACCAGATCTCCTTCTTATATTGAGCAGGTCTGCAATGGTTATTAGCTTGTTCAATCATCTGCTTTTGAGCTTTCCTGATGTTCTCTTTGACTTTTGCTATGTCTTGTTCGTACAGAACTGCAAATTCACAGGTTCCTGGAGGTAACCTTTGGACCTGATCTCTAATCAGAGAGTCTATAGGTCTTTTGGGTTGTCATCCCTTATGCAGTGCATAAGGTGTTCTTCCTGTGATTGTATGCACACTATTATTGTATGCACTCGCTATCTTAGGTAAGTTCTCATCCCAATCCATACATGCATGCGCAGAAGTTGCTAGCAGAGACTGTTCACTTGCTCGGTTTGCCCATTGGTCTCAGGATGCCTACCTGATGAAATGGTGAATCTTGTGACGTAGACTTTTATGAACTTACCCCCTTTCCACGCACTTTGCTAATTTTCTTCCCGCCTGCTTAACTAACGGCTTATGTGGAAAAGCAGTGACTAACAGGAATTGGGACCCACCCCAGTGCTCACATGACTGAGGGTAGGCACCCAAAAGCATTGCAGCATCCGGTGATTCTGCCTTACAAGGTTAGAGTCCCTCTGCGAACAATGCCCCCCGAATCCCTATCCAGTTCTTGATGCACAAGAAGGAGCCCTTACTTGGGAAGGCAACCACAGAATGCTTGCAACGCTCTATCACCCTACTGATCACCTCTATCGTGCAAGCTGAACCTCGGTGTAATGTGCAAGCATGTGTGTTGTTGTCCTATGTCATCTGCTTCATCCACCCAGGGCACTTCCCATGCGCCACCCTTCTCCCATGAAATGCGCCACTAGAAGGTTGACTCTCCTGCCATTGCAACTCACAATGAGATTACTCTCAAGCAAAATGCTCGTACGATAAGAAGACTAAAGGAGGGTAGATAAGTCTAGGGTAACACAGGGTAGATAAGTCTAGGGTAACACTGTGTTATGATGTGCTGTTTGATGACTGGTCAATGTTCAGGAACTACAGTCAATAAAATGTCAGTGTCTCCCATGCAATGGCGAAACTTATATATTCTCACCCCATGTCACATATGTCATTAAACTTCCACCCATGAGTTCTCTACCCAACGCATGTCCTGGCCACGCCATCGCGGAACTCAATCACACTGCCACAGTTGACCCTCGGCACAATAAGACCTGACTATGACAGCCAGAATGGCGTGGCTATGAGCCCATTCTGATACCAAATTGCAAGTAACCATGCAATGAGAACACCAGTTTTCCAGAATGCAAAATGTTATTCAAGACCAAGCATGATTGAGCCAATTTTAAAGCAGAAAACCACAGCAGAAGGCACACCAATTAGGAGCAAACAAAACACTCAAGTCTCTTGATATAGAAAGCCGAACTTCTCGCCTCCAATCATCAATACAACAACAGGATAGAACTGCCCCACTCTACTTCCTACTACCTCTACTCACACTACTCGCTCACACAGACTTCCTCTGCCAACACCAGGTAAGAACTGCCACTACCCACTGCCTTCCTGTCTTCCCTGACCGCTTTCACACTTCACCACCCTGCTTCCCTGCTACTGCTCGCCAGCCTAGCAGCCACCGCAGCTGCGTCCTCTTCTGTGGGTGCTGCTCTCTGGCCTCTGTGCAGCAGTGTTGCCACGAGTGCTGCCCACCCGAATGTGTTGTGAGCGGACGTCTCCCTTCTTTTGTCCTTTTCTGGAGGCCGCGTCCAGACCCAGTACGCAATTCCTGCGTCATACTGGGGCTGAGTACTAGACCCAGCTGCTGGAGGCTCGGCCTACCGGTTAGTCACAGGGGCTGGCACCTGTTCTCAGACCCAGAGAATGCCCTGCAGGCCTTTTTCAGTCCCAGCTGGATTTCCCTCAGCCCACCTTCACTTAGGGCAGGCCCTGCTGGATTCTCTCACCCCGCCTTCACTTAGGCAGCCTCGCTCATTTTTAAGGTCTGCTGAGGCCTGGAACCTCGCAAGTGAGCATATCGATGTTGAGCAGGTGTTTGCGATCTTGCCAATGTCATGACAAAGCCAGTGGAAATTTGCATCTCGCAAGTGGTCTCTTCCACCTAAATACTTTGCTGAGCACAAAAGAAATCGGAACCAATCGCAAAATTTTCCAATCAGCTTAACTGAAAAGAAAGGTAGGGGAAAGCCTGGAGGTAAGGAAATGGGAGAGGAGGACAGCAGAAAGCAGCAGAGTTACAGAAAAGAAAACTCACAAAATCAATTCTTGGAGTTCATATGTCGGGCAGACTGTGGCAGAGCCTATGTCTCATGCTGGTTTTTCAATTCCTGGCAATGGGATCCGATCCCGGGGTGTGAAGTACATTGGCTTTTCATTTTTCTGGAGTGAAAGTCTCCTGAGGTTTGATTTTTTGCTGGGCAGGTATGTTTTGGCAGTAGCGGTGGCCACCCAGGTACCTTTATAAGTCCATCTCAGTCATTGCACACTGGCTGACCCTTGCCCCAAGGAAGGGCAAGCACCTCTTGCTTGTCATCAAGTAGAGACGATATGAGTGCACAGTCACAGCTGCTCGTTGCTGCTAATAGAATCATGTCTGTGCCCGCCTGTTGTATTCTGCCCTGAGTAGCGGATTATCAACCTTTGCTATTTTGAGTTTGGGGAAAAGGGGGAATCGTTTTTTCTTGTCATCAAGCAGAGACGAGATGAGTGGGCACTCATAACTGATTGTTACTGCTAAGATAATCATTTTGCTCCCCGTCCGCTGTAGTTTGCCCTGGGCTATCTGCTGGCCAGGTGGACATAATTCCCACTGGTATAACGGAGTTTCCAGCTGTCCGATGCCCAAAAAGAATCGGAGCTCCATTTAAATGTCTATGGGCAATTGATACCAATTATACGCTTGATGTCCTCAACTGCCAACGAGTGTCAAATTGAATGGATGCATCACATTTCTAACACAGTAAATGACGGTTGAATTCAGTCTGAGTGGGAAGTTAGAAGCATGGAGAGGGAACAGACTAGATTACAGGATGAGGAATTTTGATTTGCTGGAACCCAGTAGTCAGAGATAAGATGATGAGCAAAGTGCTGAAGTGTTGGTTGTTGCTGTCGTTCTGCTGTTCCAATTTTCATTTGTCTGAGTGATGGTTCAGGTTCTACCTCTTGTGGGTGGAGTCATTAACTCTTGGTTAGGTCATCTCACCATGGGTTGGTTAAACTTGGTTTGCATTTGCAGGTGGAACTTGTAGGGCACTGCACCGAGAATGGACTCTATCTTGTGTATGATTATATGCCAAATGGTACCCTGAGCCAACACCTGCATAACCCTGCAAACTATGGTAAGGCTACTCCATCCACGGTGCCAGCATTATCATCATGACACCCTAGTCATTCTTTGAGCAGATTTTCACAGAATGATAACCGGGTGATTCTATGAGTTGGGTGTGCATTGAGAAGGTGGACCAGAGCGAGCATGGAATATCCAGTACAGACATTATTATTGGTTTTCGACTGTACTGCTGCGTAACTACTGTCATCACCTTCCCATCTGCCTTTGCTGAATATTATGTATGTAGTGTGAATTTATGTGACGATGTTATTGTGTGTCCTCGTTTGTGAAAGGATTTCACATCTCAGTCAGGTCCCGGATTTTGTCCCAAGAGTCCCAAAGGTCCCAGTCCCATTTACAGTAGCTGAACTGGTAGGCCAATCAGCCGAAACGCCGATTCAGGCCGTAGGTCAGTAGAGGTTAGCAGCAGCATCCTGGAAAAGTGTGGAGACTTCTGGAACTGGCCAAAGTGCAGCCGATAAGCCCGGAGAGACCATTACCTGTCTGGAGCCGACAAAGATGTCAATTGAGCTGCTACTTAAGCAGCAACAATACCCAGGGCGAATCACTTGTCAATCCGCATGCTGTGGAAGTGCTCCTGTACGCTCGTGCGATGGTTCGAGGATACTAGTTGGGCAATTGGGAGGAGTAGCCGGGAGCACACACCATAGCAAGGACTAGCAAGGGAGGAGGAAGACACCATGGCTATTAGGGTTGAGAGTGGAGTGCATTTAGCGAGCAAGAGAGCAATCCATGTGTGTGTGTGTGTGTGTGTGTGTGTGTGTGTGTGTGTGTGTGTGTGTGTGTGTGTGTGTGTGTGTGTGTGTGTGTGTGTGTGTGTGTG